AATTTCCACCACCATTTTGATTTCTTTTTACTTTTTCAGTCCCCTCTTTCTGATACTCAGATGACTGAAAAGTGATACAAAGTTGGTAAAAGTCATAAGATTTTCTCTGGGGTCTTCTGTCAAGTCAGACATTAAAAGTTTGTCTTACACTGATGAAAAACTATGTGTGATGCTTAAACTCTGTTTTTTTTTTTTTTTTTTCCCCCAAGGAGTAAAAGAAACATCTGAAAGAAGTAAAAGACCATGCTAGGATTATTATTATTTTTTTAAATCTTGAATCTATACTTTTGTGATCAGAAACTTTTCTGAATAATGGATGGATCTACTCATGGAAATTGTATTTCTAGTGGTAAAACTGAGTTTGATGAAGACTACATCCTTGGGAGGCTGATGGAGGAGGATTACTTGAGGCCAGGAGTTTGAGACCAGTCTGGGTAACACGGCAACACCCTGTCTCTACAAAGTTTTTTTTTTTTTTTAATAAAATGTAAATACTTTAAAATATTTTTAAGGTTACATCTCACTAAAAAGAGCACCATGCTTTAGTGCTGGGTGCAGAATAAAACAGTATGGCCTATTTGGACGGTAGTTTAGAATACGATTTTAAAAGTCTTAATAACTCATGTCTGACACATGCTACCTCTGGGACTCCATCCCAAGGAAATAATTCTAAATAGAGGCTGTTGTACAAAGATTTTTCAAAGCAGAATATTTTTCATATTGAATAATGTTGTGAATCTAAGTATCAAAGAAGGGTGAATGGTTGAGGTAGTCTTTTTTTTTTTTTTTTTTTTTTTTTTTTTGAGATGGAGTCTCATTCTGTCACCCAGGCTGGAGTGCAGTGGTGCTCACTATAGCCTCTGCCTCCTGGGTTCAAGCAATTCTCCTGCCTCGGGAGGCTGAGCTAATTTTTGTAAAGCTAATTCTATATAAACCACATCTAATGGTAGCATCATTGGTTACAGGAGGTGAGGCAAGAAAGGAGGCATGTTCCAACTTAACATCTCAATCTAAGAGCAGAACCTTATTACCTATGGTCCCTGGAATTATACACCAATTGTGATATAATTGTGACCAGCTAATTTTTCTATTTTTGTAGAGACTGGGTTTCACCATATTGGCCAGGCTGGTCTCAAACTCCTGACCTCAGGTGATCCGCCTGCCTTGGCTTGCCAAAGTGCTGGGATTGTAGGCGTGAACCACTGCACCTGGCCAAGGTAGTTTAAAAATATATTTTATTTTATTTTATGTATTTATGAGACAGAGTTTTGCTCTTATTGCCCAGGCTGGAGTACAGTGGTGCGATCTTGACTCACTGCTACCTCCGCCTCCCAGGTTCAAGTGATTCTCCTGCATCAGCCTCCTGAGTAGCTGGCATTACAGGCGCCTGCCACCATGCCTGGCTAATTTTGTATTTTTAGTAGACATGGGGTTTCTCCATGTTGTTCAGGCTGGTCTTGAACTCCCAGCCTCAGGTGATCCTCCTGCCTCGGCCTCCCATAAAGTGCTGGGATTATAGGCATGAGCCACCGCACCTGGCCAAAATATATTTTTAAAAGTATATCACTTGAAAAACTGTGTGTGTGTGTGTGTGTGTGTGTGTGTGTATGTGTGTGTGTGTGTGTGTGTAAGAGACAAGGTCTCACTTTGTTGCCCAGGCTGGTCTCAAACTCCTGGGCCCAAGTGATGCTCCCACCATGCCCTCCCAAAGTATTGGGATTTACAGGCATGAGCCACAGCACCTGGCTTTTTAAAAAAATATATATGTTTTGTTTTTTCATTTTTTTTAATATTGGATGAAATGCAATACAGTATGATTGTAGCTCTAGAAGTAAACTTCATATATTTAAGAAAATTTCTAGAAAAAGATAGAAACATACTGTCAGCCGGGCACAGTGGCTCACACCTGTAATCCCAGCACTTTGGGAGGCCGAGGCAGGCTGATCACAAGGTCAGGAAATCGAGACCATCCTGGCCAACATGGTGAAACCCCGTCTCTGCTAAAAATACAAAAAATTAGCCAGGTGTGGTGGCAGGCGCCTGTAGTCCCAGCTACTCGTGAGGCTGAGGCAGGAGAATGGTGTGAACCTCGGAGGCAGAGTTTGCAGTGAGCCGAGATCGCGCCACTGCACTCCAGCCTGGGCGACAGAGCAAGACTCCATCTCAAAAAAAAAAAAAAAAAAAAAAAAAAAAAGAAACATCATACTATCAAGGATTGTGTTTCGTGTTTCAGTGGTACAGCTATAGACACCTTTTATTTATGTGTATTTTTAATTCCCATATTTCCACACAAGCAGCAGCATCCCTTGTATCATTAAAAATTACAGTGGATGTCATTCGAGACCAGCCTGGTCAATATGGTGAAACCCCATCTCTACTAAAAATACAAAAATTAGCCAGGCATGGTGGCACATGCCTGTAATCCCAGCTACTCGGGAGGCTAGGGTAGAAGAATCGCTTGAACCTGGAAGGCAGAGGTTGCAGTGAGCCAGGATCGCACCACTGCCCTCCAGCTTGGGCGCTGCAGTGAGACTCAGTCTCAAAAAAAAAAAAAAAAAAATTATAGTGGATGTCAAGAACTGGCTTCCAAATATTTAAATTCACCTCATGTCGATTGTGCCTATATCCAGAGTTTGGTCCTCCTTTCCCAATCTGCAGATTGTGACTAGACCTTAGTAACATTAGGGCTCTTAATTCAGTCTTCAACCCAGACAACAGTCAGGTAGAACAAATTAACTTTGGAAAATTTGGAAATGAACATGGGTTCTCTCTACTCCAGCTCCTCCTTGTCTTCTCTGGCAAGTCCAGGTAAAGAGCTCATTGATTAGGGAGAAACTGCTCCTTCCTCCTGAGAGGTTGAAATAATTTTTTTAAAGAATAGATTAAGCCAGGTGTGGTGGCTCACGCCTGTAATCCCAGCACTTTGGGAGGCCGAGGCAGGCGGATCACGTGAGGTCAGGAGTTCAAGACTAGCCTGACCAACATGGTAAAACCCCATCTCTACTAAAAATACAAAAAATTAGCTGGGCGTGGTGGCAGGCACCTGTAATCCCAGCAACTTGGGAGGCTGAGGCAGGAGAACCACTTGAACGCAGGAGATGGAGGTTGCAATGACCCCAGATCGTACCATTGCACTCCAGCCTGGGCAACAAGAGTGAAACTCTGTCTCCACAAAAAAAAAAAAAAAAAAAAAAAGGTTGGTTAAAAGGAATATCACATGAAAAACTATGTTGCTTTGTATATATCATGTATATAAGAAATATAGCCGGGCGCGGTGGCTCAAGCCTGTAATCCCAGCACTTTGGGAGGCCGAGGTGGGTGGATCACGAGGTCAGGAGATCGAGACCATCCTGGCTAACACAGTGAAACCCCATCTCTACTAAAAATACAAAAAAATTAGCCGGGCGTGGTGGCAGGTGCCTGTAGTCCCAGCTACTCGGGAGGCTGAGGCAGGAGAATGGCGTGAACCCAGGAGGCGGAGCTTGCAGTGAGCCGAGATAGTGCCACTGCACTCCAGCCTGGGTGACAGAGCAAGACTCCGCCTCAAAAAAAAAAAAAAAAAAAAGAAATATATAGAAGAGGCCGGGCATGGTGGCTCCTACCTGTAATCCTAGCACTTTGGGAGGCTGAGGCAGGCAGATTACCCAAGGTCAGGAGTTCTAGACCAGCCTGGCCAACATAGTGAAACCTTGTCTCTACTAAAAATACAAAAAATTAGCTGGGCATGGTGGCTCACGTCTATAATCCCAGCTACTCGGGAGGCTGAAGCAGGAGAATCAATTGAACTCCAGAGGAGGAGGTTGCAGTGAGCTGAGATTGCACCACTGCACTGCAGCCTGAGCTACACAGTGAGACTCTGTCAAAAAAAAAAAAAAAAAAAAAAGAAAGGAAAGAAAGAAATATATAGAAGCAATCCACTTGCCCATAATGGGGAAATACAATACCACTTAGAACAATACCATTTTCACCATTTCTGAGCTTACCTGTTTTTTCCACCTTGTGGATAAATAGGTATTAGCTAAAGAGAGAATAAATGCTTATCTGTAAATTCTTTTGGTTTGATTTGTTTTTTTCTTTTTTTTGAGACAGGGACTGACTTTGTCCCCCAGGCTGGAGTGCAGTCGCGTGATCACAGCTCACTGCAGCCTAGACCCCCTGGGCTGAAGTGATCCTCTTGCCTTAGCCTCCCAAGTTGTTGGGAGTTAGGTGCCTGCCACCACACCTAGCTAATTTTTGTTTTTGATTTTTAGTGAGAAGAGGTCTTGCTGTGTTCCCAGGCTGATCTTGAACTCCCAGGCTCAAGCAATCCTCTTGCCTTGGCCTCACAAAATGCTGGGATTACAGGCGTGAGCCACCACTTCCGGCCCTTTATCTGTAAAATTTCAAAGCATCAAAGAAGGAAAGAGAGCTTAATTAATATCATCTTTAGTAGTTGAACGAACTCAAGGAGGAGAAATAATAGAAGAAAAGGTCATGGCTTTCATAATTCGTTGCAGCCATGAATAAGAGCTGCTATAGTTATAGCATATATTCCCTGGTTCTTTTTTCATTCAAAAGGCTGTACCTTTCAGAATTATGTCATTAATGATGAATTAATTAAAGTAGATGTTTGGGGTAGTGAGGCAGTTACTAAGTCCTTTCCACTGAAACTGAAGAACTGGGCATTTTATTCACGTTTGTGTTTCCTGATTTACAGTTGCTACAAGCGCCAATGTTGAAAACACGTATTTCTGTGGCTCATCTTCGCCGTCTTTACTTGTAGTGCTTTCAAAGAGAACAATGGCTTTTTCTAGTTCAGAAATGGGTGTTAGTAGCTCAGAGCTAGGAGATTTCACATGTTGTGAATACGAACAAGCTGTTTTGTGATAAAGAACCAATGCAGCGGGGAAAACCAACATCGATTACAGCAGTTATTCAGTGTATCTTTGTATTTGAGGGGAAAAAGGAGGGACACTGTTGTTTTGCTCTTATTTTTTTCCCTCTTTCTTTTCCCACTTTAGACAAAGCCCGTGGCATTTGCAGTTCGGACAAATGTCAGCTACAGTGCGGCCCATGAAGATGATGTTCCAGTGCCTGGCATGGCCATCTCATTCGAAGCAAAAGATTTTCTGCATGTTAAGGAAGTAAGGAGAATAATTTCATTTTCTATCAGCATGGTGTTTCACCTTGACATACCATTTCTTATTTCCTATTCAGATGCCGTTTCTGTGAAGCAGCATTGCACATCACTGCAGTTGTATAACATACATACTAAATCAATGGCTCTCAACCTCTGCTAATATAAATATACCTTTTAAAGTGGAAAGAAGTCACGGGCGTCTTGCAATAACTTCAGCGCTCCCTGGGGCTCTGTGGCCCAGAAATTGGGAACTGCTAGAGTAGATGATCCTTTTTTATACTTAACCTGTACTTCTTCTTTTAATGTTTCACCTTGACTAGGTGTAGTTTTCTGATGCCTGAAGTCTAGCAATCTGGGGAAGGTTTAATAATAATATCTAGAATTCATGACTCCTCTCTGCTGGCAGTGTCTAAACTCAAACTACTGATGCCCTTTTTCCTCCTTAAATGCTAAATTTCTGCAGTGGATGAGAGAATGGTAAGCATTGATGCCAGTAAGGCAACAAAGAGGTATCAGGAAAAGTCCTTTTCCCACATGCTAAATGTCTCCACCTTTTAGTGAGCAATGATACAACCTGCAAACTGGAAACATTCATCCTTAATTAAGCTTTGCTTGGAGTCAACATTTATCAAATGCCTGCCTTGTGGAGCACTGTGTTAACTGACCAGAAATTTCCCCTGTAGAATATTCTCAGTGTGTGATCCTGAGGTTTTTCTTGGACCTGGAGGAATTTATACTTGGAGCCCTTCCATGTAGGGTATAATATGTTATAGGAAGCATGTGTAAATTTAATCTCTTCACTGCACTAAAGGCTGTCAGCAAAGGAGTTGATGACTGCCAATTAAGAGCCTAGGGTTGGGCGCAGTGGCTCATGCCTGTAATCCCAGCACTTTGGGAGGCCAAGGCGGGCGGATCACAAGGTCAGGAAACCAAGACCATCCTGGCCAACATGGCGAAACCCTGTCTCCACTAAAAATACAAAAATTAGCTGGGTGTAGCGGTATATGCCTGTTATCTCAGCTACTTAGGAGGCTGAGGTAGGCGAATAGCTTGAACCAGGGAGTCGGAGGTTGCAGTGAGCCGAGATCGCGCCACTGCACCCCAGCCTGGCGACAGAGCGAAATTCAGTCTAAAAAAAAAAAAAAAAAAAGAACCTAGAAGCCTGGATACTATGGCTTATGCCTGTAATCCAAGCGCTTTGAGAGGTCGAGGAAGCCTGATCTCTTGAACCCAGGAGTTTGAGACCAGCCTGGGCAACAGGGCAAAACCCCATCTCTACCAAAAAAAAAAAAAAAAAAAAAAATTAGCTGGGCATGGTGGCACACACTGGGAGTCCCAGCTACTCAGGAGGCTGAGGCTAGTGGATTGATTGAGCCTGGGAGTTCAAGACTGAAGTGAGCCGGGATCATGTCAATGTATTCCAGCCTGGGCGACAGAGCAAGACCCTATCTCGATTAAAAATAAAACAGCCTAGAGAATTTAGAGCCTACCATTTTGGTAACCTCTGAAAAGAGATGTCAAATACTGGCTTGGTGGGAACAATAGAAAAAGTTATCAGAAGTGATGCTGTGCCTAGAATCTCACTTAATACCAGGAAGTTAGATTATTACGGGGTCTCTTCTTGATGGTTGGTGCTGAAAGGGGAAAGGGGAAAAACAGAATGTATGTTCTTCTTTGAAGTGTTCAAGGACAGATTTATTCCATCAAGGAAAATGAAGGCAGATCATAAAGATTTAAGATACATATTCTACCTGCAAGAGATAAATTGTCAACATCACACAAGTAGAGAAATCATCTGTGAACATCGCACTGTGTAATTATAAAACTGTTTGCACAAAGGTAAATTGTCCTGTGACATGAAATATTTAAGGTAGACTTCAATATTTATCTCTTTCTCTCAATACTTCCAATTGGTCTGATTATATAAGGGGAATTTCTGTAACACTACTTCCTAAAGATCTCTTGGTAGGATGGGCTGTTATTCTTTGAACCCAGAGAGCTTATCCCTACTCAAGGTGACAGCAGCTGCTGCAATGGAATTCAGCCTGGTCCTATGGCAGCACCAGGACAGACAAGGAACGAAGAGCCTTTGACAGATTGCTGAGGACACTAAAAACATTTCTTACATGTGAAACCCATGAGCCAAAGGGTTTCTTGAATGATAATATTTGAGGCATAGTTCATTGTCATTGCCATATTTCTCTCCACTGAAAATAGTGTGGAAGAACAAGGATTTGACCTTCTGTGCACTGATTTTTAATGCTTTTGATTTTGTGTTTAGAAATTTAACAATGACTGGTGGATAGGGAGACTGGTAAAAGAAGGCTGTGAAATCGGATTCATTCCAAGCCCAGTAAAACTAGAAAACATGAGGCTGCAGCATGAACAGAGAGCCAAGCAAGGGAAATTCTACTCCAGGTATGAGACAGGTGTCAAGTGTTTGCATAAAACTTAGATTATACCACTATCTGTGTACTGTTGTCTGCTGTATTCTATATCCTTTATTATGTATTAACAAGGAGGCTGGTGATATGGTTTATTGATAGCATCACAAATCTTGCATTTTCCTGCATTTAAAAAACTTCAATCCACCACCTGATTTTCATCCTATTTGGGGAAGTATCAAATTATTATCATTAATGAAAAGAGCTAAGGTCACAGAGTATTAAATCCAGGCTCCAGTGCTGAGAAAATTCTGAAACCTTAATCGTTTACTGAAAAATAGTCTGGCACAGAATAGCCCTGGTGACTAATCCCACTGTCTGTAGCTGCCTGGTATGTCTAGGAGATGTTTGGGAGATGACAGTCTCAGACATCATCAGGAAATGGCAGCTCTTGTCATCTGTTAGTTTCATTTTCACCTGAGAAACTCAATTTTCAGTTCTACCCACTGTTAAGCACTTAAAGAGAAGCAAAGTATGAAACAAGTTAAAACTGCCTGTGCAGATGGCAATTAGATGAGTTATGTAAGAAGCTGGGGCTGAATAATCCCTCCTAGGATTCGTGAGGTTGTCTGCCCCTCTCTAAAAGAATCGCTAGAAAGCCTTCTCATACACATACTGAATTTTACATGGAATCATATGCAGACGGGTCTAGGGATGCAGCATGCCTCTCCCTATGTGAAAGGATGGGACATGGGCAAGGCCTTTCTTAAATGTGAATCGCTGGATTTCTGTTTTCTCCATCTTACATCTTATTTGTTTATCTAAAAGGCAAATCCGTTTGTCAGTGATAATACTTTAATGTTAGCAAGTATTTTTTTCAAGCATCAGCAGATGAGTGAAACAGAATATGCTTTGTGGTTTGGAATACCCATCCTCATTAACTGGCTTTTTATAATTGTCAAGTTCATTTAGTTCAGATGGATTCCTCTGTGTTTTGAGACCTCCACCCCAGAACTGACTTTCATTAATTCCTGGGTTATTGAGAGTGCTCGGATGGTGAGATGCATTCAGTCAGATAAAAGAGGCGTGCATAAAAAAGAACAAGATTGGCTGGGCGCAGTGGCTCATGCCTGTAATCCCAGAACTTTGGGAGGCTGAGGCAGACGGATCACCTGAGGTCAGGAGTTCAAGACCACCCTGGCCAACATGTTGAAACCCCATCTTTACTAAAAATACAAAAATTAGCCGGGTGTGGTGTTGGGCACCTGTAATCCCAGCTACTCAGGAGACTGAGGCAGGAGAATTACTTGAATCCGGGAGGTGGAGGTTGCAGTGAGCCCAGATCGTGCCATTGCACTCCAGCCTGGGCAACAGAATGAGACTCCATCTCAAAAAAAAACAAAAAACAAAAAACAAGATCATGTCCTTTGCAGCAACCTGGATGGAGCTGGAGGCCATTATCCCAAGCGAACTAACACAGGAATAGAAAACCAAATACGGGGACCGGGCGCAGTAGCTCACACCTGTAATCCCAGCACTTTGGGAGGCTGAGGCGGGCTAATCACAAGGTTAAGAGATTGAGACCATCCTGGGCAACATGGTGAAACCCCATCTCTACTAAAAAAAAAAAAAAAAAAAAATACAAAAATTAGCTGGGCATGGTGGCATGTGCCTGTAGTCCCAGCTACTTGAGAAGTTGAGGCAGGAGAATCGCTTGAACCCTGGAGGCGGAGGTTGAAGTGAGCCAAGATCGCGCCACTGCACTCCCGCCTGGCGACAGAGTGAGGCTCCATCTCAAAAAAACAAAAACAAACAAACAAAAACAAATACTGCATGTTCTCACTTGTGAGAACTAAACATTGAGAACATACAGACACCAGGAAGGGAACACTGGATACTGGGGACTACTTGAGGGTGGAGGATCGGGGGAGGGTGAGGATCAGAAAAACCACCTCCTGGTGTGTTATGTTCATTATCTGGGTGACAAAATAATCTGTACACCAAATCCCTGAGACATGCAATTTACCTGTGTAACAAACCTGGACATGTACCATTATTATCATTAGCAGCAGTAAATTATTCATTAGGCCAACGTATATATAATGCATATTTTATATGCAATATTAAATATTAAACTTTTGTTGAAAATGCATTTCTTAATGAGAAAAAAAAAGTAGAGGCATGTAAATAACATATCTGCATTTTGCCTGCAGGGTGTTCGAAGACCTGATAGTATTCTTTCAATTCTTAACGTTCCATTGGCCTTATTTTGTGTTTTCCTACCCTCTGTATTGAAAATGGTATCATAATACTAGTTAACAGAACCTTATGGCCAGGCGCGGTGGCTCATGCCTGTAATCCCAGCACTTTGGGAGGCCAAAGCAGGTGGATCACTTGAGGCCAGGAGTTTGAGATCAGCCTGGCCAACATGGTGAAACCCCGTCTCTACTAAAAATACAAAAGTAGCTGGGCGTGGTGGTGCATGCCTGTAATCCCAGCTACTCAGGAGCCTGAGGTATGAAAATCACTTGAACTTGGAAGGCGGAGGTTGCAGTGAGCCGAGATCATGTTCCAACCTGGGCGACAGTGAAACTCCGTCTGAAAAAACAAACAAACAAAAAACCACCTTATATGGAAAAATGTTGTTGTAATAGGGTGTAGACATTGCTCTTATCAACTAGGTAGTATATAGTTTGTTGAGGTTTGAAGTTATCCCAGCTGGGGGACGTTTTGTTTTTAGTTAGGACAATTCAGCATTTTTCAGAATTTTCTTGTCAAATCACTTGAGAAAGGGGTTCCAAGATAAAATAAATTTAGGATAGTTCTAGGTAATAGAAAGTTACTTTAGGATTTTTCAGAGCCTTTTAATGTGATCATGGACACTGTGAATCTCTGGTGGAATGGGAATTTTTTAAAGTATTTACTAAAATTACTTTCTCATCAAAACTCCTCTGGTTAATGTCTTAGGAAGAGTGTTTTGTAGAATGCATTTTGGGGAATTTGGGATGGAATTTTGCAGAGGTAGGCTTGTGTCTTTTTCTGCCTCTTCACACAGAAACTAAGAAATGAGAACAACTTCAAAGGGAGTAGAAATTTTTCCCAAAATTGTCAGAGAAGTGTAGTCTCCTGTGTCTCCCAAATGGGCTTCCCTAGGCTAACATTAGTGCTCCACTCATCTTTATAAGGACCTGTGGGAGCAGTGGGTATTAGATCTTACAGGTCACAGATGAGAAAACAGGTTAAGAGAAGTTAGAGAACTTGACCAAGGTCGCAGAGCTAGTAAGCGTCAGAACCAAGATGGCAACCTGACCTCCATTCTGTACAGACTTCCATGCTGTACTGCAAATTAAGGAGCCAGGTCTTGCCAGGCACAGCAAGCCCAGGACAAATGGTTATTGCCATCTGTTATTATTTACTTTATTAGATATGTTGTTTTGCTCTTGCATTTTTTTCCTTAGGATTCTGAGTTATCCGTATTTGAGGGAATGTAACATTTCAGAACTTACTCCAGAGAACTCGGTTACCTTTTCTTACAGCCATGTATCTTTTTCTTTGATTTTCTTCATTTTATTTTGTCTCAAGATTTTGCCTAAGTATATGAAAATACTTTTACTTGCTTTCACAGGTTTTTACATTTCTCTTTTTTTTTTTTTTTCCTAGTCTCGCTCTGTGCCCAGGCTTGAGTGCAGTGGCACAATCTGGGCTTACTGCGACCTCTACTCCCAGGTTCAAATGATTCTCCTGCCTCAGTCTCTCTCCCGCCTCTCTCTCTGTAGCTGGGACTATAGGCATGCGCCACCACGCCCAGCTAATTTTTGTATTTTTAGTAGATACAGGGTTTCACTGTGTTGGCCAGGCTGGTCTCAAACTCCTGACCTCAGGTGATCTACCCACCTTGGCCTCCCAGAGTGTTGGGATTACAGGCGTGAGCCACTGTGCTGGCCTCTCCTAACATTTTAAATGCAGTTTTGTTTTGAGGACATAACCAGAATCTGGCAGTTTTTAAAAACTCTGATACAGAAATTATAAAAATTGACAGAACTCAATGGAAATGAAATTGGGGTACAATTCAAGAACTTGGCATTTTAATAGAATTAAAAGTCAGGGACAAATCTGCATCCTAGCCATTGTCACCGTTTGCAGTATTTGTCACAATTTTATATAACTCAAATAATATTTGGCTGTTACTAAAATTCAAAGGAAATATAAAACCCATGAACTTGAACTGAAATTAGACTTAATACTTTAGGGGGGGAAAAAAAAAACTTCTGGGAAAAAAATGTTTTGGTCTTGGTAATAGGTCCTTGTATAACTGCCAGAAACTGCTTTTATAAATGTCACCTGTCATTAATTTCGCATACTGTCTGATGCCCTTACTAAATGTATTTGAGTATCTCTTAACCTTAAACAGATATAGAGCCCTCTTGCTAATTGCCTAATAGTTTTTGATGTTTATGCGTAAAAATGCTAGAACAGTAGCAATAACATTCAGCCTGTTACTTATACTTTAATAAAACTTTTATTTTCATATTAATATTTACGTAAGCAAATATTGCCCTTTGATGCATAAACGGTGTAGCACATTCTTTCAACTAGACCCTGGCTTGGCCATAATAATAAACATTAGGCAGTGAGATCATTTTGCCCAAATTTAAAATGTTCTTCTCGTCTTCATCTGAGAGAGGGGTCATTCAGTAACATGTTATTTAGCATGCCGGTATGCTGGTGAAAAACACAAATGCTGTTGTTCTAATATTAACTCCAACGTTTCTGAGACACTGAAGTTTATCTTACATCAAACTTTCGAATTTGGTAGTTCTGAAATGTATGATGGTCAGATTATTCCTAAATTAACCAAGTTTCATTCTCCATGTGAGTCATGCTTGAGAAATATTCTGGGTACTATCTGATGACTACAGCATATCATATTCTGTTTAGTCGTGTCTCTTCGTGTGTCTTTTAGTGGTTGGCAAGTTTTCATGTGGCTCTGTTGTTCTTTGATAGGTTGCTCATAAAAGCTTGCGTGCTTTCAATCTTAGTATACTATTAATAAAATAAGCCTAAAACAGAGGAGCTGCAACCAAACAAGAAGGAAATATTAATCTTGGGTGTTAGCCTTAAGGTTCTATGCATCACCTCTGAGGGTCTCTAAACTAAAAAGCAAAATAAATCTGTGCTGTTTTGCTATCTTGTGATCTGGGCAGATAACTTGAGGGCTGCAGAAATTACACTGGTTCTCTTCCATTCTCTCGGGGCCTTTTAAAATTAAACCTTCAATTTGAAATCAGAGACCATCATGTGCCTATTTCAAGTACACCAGGAATCTCCACTGGGAAATATTGTTTTCTTCCTTAAATGAAAGATAAGTTTAAAGTTGAATAAAAACACAATGAATTATCATGTTTATTGAGTAATATAAACATTTGAGGATCTGAAATAAGTGTCAGATTTAATAGAAATTTTTGCTTTACTCCAGTAAATCAGGAGGAAATTCATCATCCAGTTTGGGTGACATAGTACCTAGTTCCAGAAAATCAACACCTCCATCGTCTGGTAAGTAGGTGATAAATGCTAAATAATACATATTGCATTTCATGCTTTCCCCAGTCCTATCCAGTTTTGTGAATTTACATATGCACTGAATCACTATGTTAACCCTACAGACATTAAAAGGAATCAGAAGTAAGCATGCCCTTTTGGAGTTACAAACACTATGGGGAAATGTTTTTTCTGGCTGGAAAAAAAAGTATGTCAAAGTATTTACTCTACATTGCTGTAGATGATCAAAGTGATTAATGTATTTAACTTTTTAATTTTTTTTGAGACAGAGTCTCGCTCTGTTGCCCAGGCTGGAGTGCAGTGGCATGATCTCAGCTCACTGCACCTCTGCCTCCAGGGCTCAAGCAATCTTTCCACCTCCGCTTCCCAAGTAGCTGGAACTACAGGTGCACACCACCATGCCTGGCTAATTTTTGTATTTTTTGTAGAGACGGAGTTTCACCATGTTGCCCAGGCTGGTCTCAAACTCGTGAGTTCAAGCGATCCACCTGCCTCAGCCTCTCAAAGTGCTGGGTTTACAGGTGTGAGCCGCCGCACCCAGCCATATTTAACCTTTAATCCCTAGTCCCTGTGACGGCGCTTGTCATGGGCAGTAAATGGGTGAATACTCGCCAACAACCATAGCGCAATGTGAGATAGAATCTTAACATTAAATAGAAGGATAAAAGCTTTAGAAGGGTAAGGAACAGAGAGTAAATTGAAGATAGAGGATTGGCCTGCCATGGGCTCTACCAGGGAAGTTCTGTGGAAGACACAGACAAGAAGTATAGAAAAAAGAGGAAAATGTTTGTGGGAAGAGTAACTACTGTTGTCTTTCCAAAGCGGTGGGTTCATCTTAATGGTTGCTGGATAAAATAAAGCACACCTACTTAAATTTCAATTTCAGATAAACAATAATTTGCTAGTTTAAGTACATATTGTATGGGGCATACTTACACTAAAAATGTATGGAACGTACTTATATTAAAACATTGTTTTAAATTCAGATTTAACTGCATTTATATTTGCTAAATCTGGGAACTCTCCTATTCTGTGTAGAACTTGGAATTCTATATACACAGGAGACCAATGATTTGAATTGCAAAAAAAGCACATGATCAGTATCTCAGTTTGCTAAGAGAATTGTACTTGGGAATCAGAGTAAGATTGTAAAGGTTGGCTGCCAGGGCGTTTCAGCAAAATGATACGGTGTGTGATTTCCAGAAAGCTGGAAATGGGAAGAGATAAAAAACAGAGAGTTGCACAACTATGGAAAAATCAAGGAACTAGTCACACAGTGACGGAGGTGCTTCAAGGACAAGATTTCTCTGTTACTGATAATCAGCTTCATTCCTGAATGATGGTGGCCTCTAGAGACCAATCAAGGACTTCTTAGCAAAAACTACAGGATTTTTTTTTTTTTAAGAGAAGGAGTCTGACTATGTTGCCCAGGCTGGTCTTGAAACTGCTGGGTTCAAGGGATCCTCTTCTTCAGCCTCCTAAACTGCTGGGATGACAGGCATGCGCCACCATGCCCAGCCATTTAGCAAACTAAGATACTGATCATGGGCTTTCTTTGCAATTCAAACCATTGGTCTCCTGTTTATTTGGAATTCCCAGTTCTACACAGTAATACAGGACTTTTTAAGTGAGCAAAATCTGAGCACAATAAATGAATTGCTTTAGGAAGCAAATTAATTCAAAACCTACCTACTTATAACTTGAAGCAAGCAATTCTAAGATGCTCAAAATTAAGTAAAATAGTATGCATGAAATGCAAATGAAAGCCCCTGTAGGTATTATGTGAAGCTTATACCTTCCCTTGATAATTAAGGAGCCCCTGAATCCACAGAGGAAAGGAGGCCTATCCTGCTCCTTCTCAGATGTGTGAAGTTGCAGGGATTCCTATATAAACTTTACACTCTTCTTATATATCTCAAAGACAATCTCGGTGATTTCTAGGGACTGCTACTAGGCTCCTAAAATGGAAAAAGACTATGTCACCTTGCGATAAAGCAGCAGTTCTGCCCGCAAATGTCAGCCTCACTTCTTTCTATATATCAGAAAAATTCTTCCATTCCCTCCAGCCATATTATAGCCCTCCAGTGGTTTTGGCAACACAGATGCTCCTACACTTATGATAGAGATACACCTCAATAATCCCTTCATACATGGAAAATATCGTAACTCAAAATGCACTTAACATGTGGACAGACCCAGTAAAAAGTCCTAAGTCAAACCATCGTAAAGTTCAGACGTTCCTTGACTTCTGAAGAAGTTATGTCCTGAAAAATTCGTAATAAGCTTGCACAATCTTAAGTTGAACCATTGTATGTCAAGGACCGTCTGTATAATGAAAGGAGGTGCATGCATTTTGAAGAACAAGTTCATATACTTGTAAAATAACATTCCATTTTGTAGGCAGATGTTTGACATTACTAAAAGTAAAGTTCCATGAAGAGTGTAATATTTAAAAAGGTGATTTAAATGTTCACCAAGGTTTTGTAGAGATACACCAACTTTCAAGTGACTTTTCTGGTGACTGAGTCAATTGGAGCTATAACCAACTACATAATGTATAATAAGCATATCAGGACTCTGAGATAATTTTTATATCAATAGCTCAGCTGATTTAAAGGAAACCTTCAGAGAGCTCTAAAGAGAAGTTCTCCCAATCCACCTCCAGGCACAACTGCTCCAGCTGTCAAGTGTGGATGGGCCTGGAATGATCATTTTCATCTTGTTTCTAGAGGTCCTGTCTACTATTCCCCTCACCCACTGCTAGACCAAAGAATATAAGTATCTACCTAAAGTATATAGGTTTGGATGCTGTCAAGAACTTGGAAAATTTCCCACTTGACATCTGGGCAATGGTGTCATAGCCAGTTGCAGAACACGTACATTGCACCCACACACACATGCGTACATATGTCTCAACCCCAAGCTCTGCTTAACTTGACCCAAGCCTTTAAGACCAAAACTTAAATTTCAAAACAATGTGCTGGGTGCCATGGCTCACGCCTGTAATCCCAGCACTTTGGGAGGCTGAGGCAGGAGGATCACTTGAGCCCAGGAGTTCAAGACCAGCCTGGACAATGTAGTGAGGCCCAGTTTCTTTAAAAAAAAAAAAATAGCTGGGTATGGTGGTGTGTGCCTGTAGTACTGGCTCCTTGGGAGGCTGAGGTAGGAGGTTCACTTGAGTATAGGAGGTTGAGGCTACAGTGAGCCATGATTATGTCACTGCACTCCAGCCTGGGCAACAGAGGGAGACCCTGTCTTAGATAGATAGATAGATAGATAGATAGATAGATAGATAGATAGATAGATAGA